ATGATAGAATGGCCATAAAAAACATGACAGGATCAGTTATGTGTCAATACCTCGAAGAGTTGGAGAAATGTATATGTTCTGAACTAGTATCCAATACATAATCATTTCTCTCATAGCAGAGATTCACGAGTCCAAGAATCAAGTGGTGGCAGCGAAGAGTGGGACCACTTGTTATTACCTCTAGTGACACTTGAAATAATTTTGATTTCTGTCCTTGTGAGACTAGAGGATTTAGTTCCAAAGAGAAGAATGCTCCTGTCAGGAGAAACAATACTGGCTCCATGGAACTGGAAGTTATAAGTGTCATCCACCCATTTCACGCTCCTCATGTCTCTTGGTCAATAGGCAAAGGAGGGAGTTACTATATTGGGTTGTGTAACTGATCCTGATTACCCAGGGGGAATTGGATTGATATTACATAATGAAGATAAAGACAAGTATGTCTGGAATATAGGAAATCCCTTAGGCTATCTCAAGTGCTACCCTGCTCAGTGATTCAAGTCCATGGAAAACTACAGCAACCCCATTCCCAAGTGAGTACTAAAGAATGAAAGCTTGGGCCAAAGAATCATTACCAGCTGAGATCATTGCGCAGGGGAAAGGGAACACAGAATTCATGGCAGAAGAAATCAGTTCTTGGCCTGCTTCCAATATATATATAGATATTTTAGTGAACTCACTTCTGATGTTTTATCATCCTCATCACCCTCTGACCTCTGGCTTTTTGTACGTGCCCCACCTCTGCGAGGTATACTTAAGTGGCACTGTAATTGTGTCCTTAGTGGCCATTCTATCATTCTATCAAAACAGTTACTTCACGGTTATGGAGGAGATGATGAAATCAGTGAATTCCATGAGCATAGGACTATTGTCACAGATCTTTGGTTGTGAAGTGAGTTCCTTTATCTGAGGCAATTCTGTTTGGAATACCATGAGGATGGATAAAGCTTTCTATGAGTCTATGGATGGTAGATTTGGCAGAAGCAATGCGTGAATGGAAAGCAAATCTATATGCAGAGTAAATCTATCATCTGACCTGGAGATTTTGAGATTCATCCCCTACCCCAGCCTCATGAGCTAGCGTCTCGTTGTCTGACTTAGTGGTTTTGGGTCCATCCTCCTGTGTAACCATGTGAGTCCAGAGAAGCCTCCAGCTTGACACGTGACCCACTGGGATTTGGGATGTTTGACCTAATCCTCACAACTGCATGAACTATTTCCTTGAAATAAATCTATTTCTATATATTTATATATGGATATTTCACTGGTTCTGTTCTTCTGGAGAACCCAGTCTAGGACACATGGGAAATGTTTATGATACATGATGTTAGGGAAAAAATGAGGAGCTGATACCAGGGGCTCAAGTAGAAAGCAAATGTTTTGAGGATGAAATTGGCAACAAATGTACAAGTGTGCTTGACACAATGGATGGATGTATGGATTGTGATGGGAGTTGTATGAGACCCCAATAAAATGATTTTTTAAAAAGGAGAAAAAGATCAAAGTATAAAATATTATATGCTACATATTCATATTTAAAATGATTCCACAAAATGGCCTGGTAAGAAACAAGGAAATGCTTTATCCTTTTCTTTAACTATTCACCGAAATTTGTTTGAGGGGGGCTTCTAAAAGCTGGTGGGAAAGTTTATCTTTTAATTCCAATTTTCCATGAACTTTGTGAAGATCCCTTGTATATGCAACTTTTACATTGAGAAATAGCAATAAATAGCATCTTAAAACCCTGTTCTATCTATCAGGAGGTAAATGTCTCTGTAATTGTTTCATAAATCACTGAGTCTTATTCGTGGATCATCTGGAGAATTAAGAGACGTAACAAAAAGACACTTGGGCCACCACAATTTCTGCAATGCCATATTTTTAAATGTTCCCTTAAATTCTAATAAATGTTTCTGTATCTTAATCACTGTCGTGTAACATATTTGCTTCACTTTCCTCCCTGATAAGTAAATATTCCCTAAGTAAAATGACACACTATACACTTACCTGTTAATTTTGCATTTGTTTAGTCCTCGATATCCTTTGGGGCCTGTCCACCTTAGAAAAACAAAACAATTCTTTCCCAGACGCACAATCAAACCAGTTCCAGACAATTCCCAGGAGCAATTCTTTATATGATCCAGTTGCATAACACACTTCTTGAATAAATGACATATCCTAATTTCGGATACATCACCAGGTTCAAGTCTGAGAGTATTCTCTGCCAGTCGATAAGGGTGCGGGTCACTGGAAGATCTCTTCGCAGAATTTTCCTCAGGGCTTCATTAGATAAGTCCTGTAATTCTTCTAAGACTGCAGCTTGAAATTTATTCTCTTGTTCTTCCACAAGCCTCGCAAAATTTAGGGCCAGTTGAGCTTGGTTTACTACTTCTAGACTTTCTTTGAGGTCCTTGGAGATTTCAACATGCAGGTTGACACTTCTGAAGTAGTGAGCTTGCACAAAAATTCTTCCTGTTACTTGGGTCAGAAATGGATTTATTTGAAATATCCATTTAGATTTCCAAAGGCCATTCCAGCAATCTCCTGATTGGTAGTTGTGATTTTCAATGCATGCTATCAAGAACTCCTTATATTTCACAGTTTTTCTGAGCACATTGCAATTCCCAGATGGAAAGTGTTCGTTCACGTACAATTTCAAGGCACACAGAACAACATTTCTTAGGTATTCTGACTCATTCCGAATGATACCATGACTTTGGATGTCTTTTAACTGATTTTGAAGAAGGTCAAATCTGAAAGAAAGTTTGCTTTGACAGTCAAAAAATCGAAAGTCCCCCACTACATTGTGATGAGACAAGAGTACGGGATTGCCATCGATACAGAGTGGTACAGAATATTTTTGGCAGTGTTGGTGGCCTGCACACTCACCCTGATGGTGCATCAGTTTTTCATCCCGGATAAGCAGGCAGAGATCATCAAATGCGTTCACAAACTCCCCTGGAGGAGCCTGTATCAGCAGTCTGCGGATTGCTTTTTCCTTCTCTTTCCTACTCAGCACGCTAAGGGCCATACTTGGTTGCTGCAGAGGCCAAGCTTCTGAAAGAGTGTTCAAAGGAATGAGCAAACATTCCCTGAGACACCTTTCCCATCCAGGTGTTAAACAGTCAGGCTTAAGATCATTATGCACAACCATCAAAACAGGGAGTTTGGCAGGCTCTGAGTCTCCTGATTACATCATAAAGAAGCTTTCTGTATGAAGGCTAGAACTTGTGATGATATCACAATGGGTGTTCAAACCACAAGGGGCAAAAACAACAACAAAGGTTACCATCACTTGACAGCACACTCCCAGCCAGCCAGCCAAGCATGTTTTGAAGATTTTAAAAGCTAAGCTTCCTGAACAGGCTTCTTCAAAAGTGGTGTGACTCTGAGTGTTATATCAGGTATCGAGAAGAGCAGCGTCAATTCCTAGAGAGAAGCTGGCAGATTTTACACCTTGAGGGCTGATAAGGGAGTTATTACTCAGACCCTCACAATAGCTGTCTCACACTCACTGGAAGTGCATTTTTGATGAAAGGTTTGAGGGGTTTAAACAAAACTAGTAAAAATAAAATGAGATACAATGACAGTTCATGGGGTGGTGGGGGGAAGTCAGCAGGGTGCTTCGTCTATGAATATTTTGGATTTGGAGGTAGTCAGAATAGAAATAAAGAGCCAAAAAGTGTGAGGGCCGGGCATCTAGGATCCACACCTCTTGTAGTGGTTTTGGGGGACTTACGGTGACCTATCTTCAAAGAACAAAGGCAACAAACTGCAGTGTTCTCTGCTTTCATCCTAGAAAAGAGGTGGCAGTGGCAACAGCCTCAATCAAGGAATTCCATTTCTGCAAGGGGACAGAGTCCACTCTATTTGGAGCCTGTGAGCACCCCAAATGGGGAGAGAATTCACTCTGAGCAGTTCTGTCGCAGCACACCATGAATACGTGCTGAACAAATATCCACTTGCGAGTCCCTTCTGTGCCCTGCTCTCTTCACTCCCTTGATTTGAACTTCTTCACTCGGTTTTCCACTTCTGCTTTCTGGACTTAGGTTCCTCTCATTTAAGTATAAACCACTTACTTCTACATCTGTTCCAAGCTTTTCTGAGGTTTCCCAAGCTTCCTATATCTTTCTCTCCGAGAAACACAGGTTTTGCGATGTTAAGTCATAGCTATTAACTTTAACGGCTTCTCATTACTTCTAACAATCTCAAATTAGGTGGATTTTAAGACAAAATTTTTTGGCCTACATTTTCCATGGCTTTATAGATTACCATATTACTTATTGCAGCCTTAGTCTTTCAAATTGAAGTGTCCTAATTTTGGTAATTTATATTAAATAGCAAAAACTCTGATTATTTTGGTTTTATTTGTCACACCAAATGTAAACTTACCATATATTTTTGGTAACTTCTTTTTGATGGGGCTTAAAATATTTGAGGTTGTTTTTTTTTTTGCGTGTGTGTGTAGGTATGTGTGTGGTATGTGTATAGCTGGAATGGTACATCTACTAATGCAATAGCAATAATTTATATGATAGCAATAAAATTCTATCACTAATAGTTACTAATTATAGAACATTTAGTAATATGAACTTTTACGTGACATGTTAATGATTCATTTAATGTCCTATCTTCTCTATGTTAGGTATTAATGTACTCAGTTTTCAGTCCAAAGAGGTCCGTGACCTCTGCTGTCTCCCAAGACCATGTCTTCAAAAAATAAATTGCAATAATGTTTTGATATATTCTCCAAGTTATAACTTTATTTCTCAATTTAAAAATTTTCTAGTCTTATTCTGAATTGTTGTTTATTGTAGAAGAGTAATTACCTAAATTTGTTTCTTAAATATCTTGTCACTTAATTCGTACACAAAGTAGAAACCTTTAAAAAATACAAATAAATGCATTTTAAAAATTAGAGAGAAATTAAATGCTACTTTAAGACTTTTAAATACTTAATCACTTTCTGTGTTAATTTCCTTAACTTCTTTTTTGTGCATCATACATGGTTTTTATCAAAGATTCATGATGAATTTAGAGGTGGAAAAATTAATCTAGATAAAACTGTGAAATTACTTGGAAAATTAGATATCCACTGTGATATTTCTCATGTGAAATATATTTTTAAGGTGAGATGATATCTGCTCTTACCCCCAACCTGTCAGACTTATTCCACTATAAGTATATGTTAAAATATAGTTAAATTTTGTCTGATCTCTATAGAAAATACTTACAAAAATTAATTTTCAAGAATTACAGTATTTAATCATGGCAATTATAATTGAATTCAATATGGAAATAACTTAGCTAGGAGGAAAACAATTGTTGATTGAATTTGAAAGGAGAAAACAAAGATCAGTTTAGAACAATCTCCTGACTGTATAGGAATACACAAGGGACATCAAAGCTGGGACAAGCAGATGGTCTTCAGAAAGAGGAAGAGCCTCAACCAGATGGATTCACATGGTGGCTGCAACAATGGGCTCAAACAGAACAATTGTGAGTATGGTGCAAGAAGGGCCAGTGCTTTGCTTTCATTGCACATAGGATCCCTATGCTCAGATCCAAAGGAATAGCCCGGCACAGCAGCAGCAACAGACACCTCCAGCCACCTCAGACCACCAACACACCCACTGGAGGAGGGCAGTTATTCCTCATTACCTACTTTCACATCTCATTTCATTTGCTCCTCATCACGGTTCTCTTTCGAGTTGGGGAAACCATCAAAAGGTTCCATCATAATGGGGATAATCTGAGGTTCCAACTGGAGAACATCTTGCAGTACAAAGCAGACTGTAGCATCCATCACCTGGAACTCCTCTCTATTGCTAAAAGGCTGCCTGGGATCGCATGAGTGGCCCTCCTGCTTTTGGTTACTGCTATCTCATGGCTTGATGGAAAGGCAAATACAGAGGCTTCCTGTGGGTCATGGGCAGTGATGTGTGGATATTCACCAGAGTAGCATAGACAACCTAGAGGCAAAGGGCTGTGATGTGGTGCATCACAAGTGTCTGTTGTATTTTCCAATATTGACTATGTAAAAATGATTTTTAATACTCTTTAATGAAATTAAAAGATGGCCAAATATTTTTTAAATAATGGAATTTTTAAATGAACTTTTGAAGCCCCTTCATATAGTGTATAGAAATATGTGGATGACATCAGACTTAGGGTTGGTTGTTTATTAGAAGAAAATAACAGAAAGGATAAAACTGGTAGTGGGTTAGATTTTAGTGACTTATGGGTAAACTTGAGACAATGCTCTACTCTGAAGAAGAAAAAACATCCAAAGAGCTAGAGCTAGTAGGAGGAGATCTGGCTCATGAATACTCAGAGAAAAAGACAAGGGTTGTTGTTGAGTTTTAGAGCAGGAAAGTGCTCATTTCTTGGGAATCAGGAAAGAATGCAAAACTGAACCATCTAGATAGTTAGGAAGACAGACATCTTGAATGTAATTTTGGCTTTTGGGGACTGAGTAGCTATGTTTCTCATCTATATTCAAGTGGTCTACCTCCATTATTTTCTATAACATACTTGACAGTAAACATGACCTTTATTCTGTAGGAAGACACTATTCTTTCCAAGCCTGTAGGTTGTACAACTATTCTTGAAAAGACAGTTCTGAAGGGAGACAGTGTGTTCAGAGATGTGAAGAAACACGGCTGAGGCTATTTATGTTTACTAGTAACTAAGAGGCCATGCAAAAAAAAGGAAAGCCGTGTTCCTCAAGAGGCTGCATGACCAAGCTAGAGTTGCAGGGACATATTCCTATGAATATAAGCAGTGTGTGCACCTAAAAGGTAACAGAATTTTGACCAATTCGTGACAATACTGCATTTGAAGAACAGAGCTATGTGTTCCATACATTCAAGGCAAAGTAAACCCAATCCCTTTGAGTCTCTTTTGACTCACAGCAACTCTATAGGACAGAACAGAACTGCTCCATACGGTTTGCTAAGCTGTAAATCTTTATGGGAGAGGATAGTCTCATATTTTTTCAAGGAGAGGCTGGAGGGGTTGAAATGCCGATCTTACTGTTAACCAATGCAATCCAAAGTTTTTCTAATAGGGCGCCTAAGACTCCTTTCAACTCAAAAACTCACTGCTGTCGAGTTGATTCTGACTCATAGGGACCCCTAAGGACAGGGCAGACCTCCCTTGTGGGTTTCTAATGTTGTAACTCTTTATTGGACTAGATAGCCTCCTCTTTCTCCTTCTGTGGAATGGTGGGGCAGTTGACTTTGCGGTTAGCAGTCCAGTGCTTAACACTATACCCCCAGAGCTCTCTTCAAGATAGAGATATTGTTTGGCATTCAATTGAGTGAGATATGTGCCAGATTTTAATGTGCTTGCTAGAATGCTTAATATTATAACAAGTACATGCATTAATTGTAATTTAAGTGTATTTGGACATTGGCAGGCCTGAAGTTTAATTTGTTTAGCAAACATTTTTTGGCGTAGCTATTTTTTGTTTTTGACAAATTACAAAAATTAGAGGGGCAGAGATTGTTTACATTACTTCAAAAACCTCTTTAAAAAGACTTAACATGCTTTAGAAGCCTTATTTACATTCAGGCACAGCAGGCAATTGTGACAAATCATTCTTAATATTAAAACAGTTGTCCTAATCCTTATCACGGAGAGCATCATGTCATAATGGTTGTTCTCAGCTGCCAACCAAAGGGTGATTTCTCCAGAAATGATTTCAGCCTCAGGGCTTCTGGGAGGCCTCTGTCACATGAACTAGTTATGAGTTGGAATTGACTCCCTGCAACCTGAAGCAACAACAGTGAGTCTTGTAATAGATAATACTTTGTTCCTTTAGGGAAAACTGTATATAGTTCAAAACATTGGTTAAATAGAATGTTTAGGGAAACTATATAGACTGAGTGTTCTAGGAAGTTTCTTTAACATTCTATTGTTTTGCTTTAACTTCTGTTGCTAATCTTTTCACACTTCATCAGTATGCTTTTCTGCTGCATTAAATAAAGTGAACCATAATGAATCTTACTTTGATGACCAAAATAGTTCCATTTCAGGGGTTATTATTCTTGGTAAGATAAATGGGCTTGGAGATTTTTGGCTCTCTTAGATCATAGCTGATTAGTACTTGGCAAGCCAAAAAAATCTCTCTGGTCATATTTCTTAACCTGCAAACTTGGGGTATTAATATAGTTATCTCATAGTCTTCTTTTGAATGGTACATAAAATATAATGTGTGAAAGTACTTCATACCACTAAGAACTCATAAATATTACCTGGAACTAGATCAATCATGATTGTTTAAAATATATATGAGACTACTTTACATTTATTAATTTCCTAAGGATCTGTTTTTTCAGCAAATCTTTGACATGACTTTATTTGCTTAAAAGGTGGCATTTTCTTATAAATTTTCAGTAAAAAACATATAACTTTAAGGCCTTGGCAATAAAAGTTTATACACTATAAACTTCAATCTACAAAATTAATTTTTGAGTCAAGTTTTATGCACTACAAGCTTTTTATGAAATTAATTATTGAGTCATGACGTTGCCTCTTAATTCAGTTGTGAGGATTTGGGTCTTCTTGACATAGAGTTGTGATCCATAGTGAAGCTGCAACCCGTGATCTTCATCAGCAAGTGCCTCAAGTCCTCCTCACGTTCAGCAAGCAGGGTTGTGTCATCTGCATATTGCAGATTGTTAATTATCCACCCTTCGATCCTCATGCTGCGTTCTTCTTCATACAAGGCAGATTTTCTGATTATTTTCTCAGTATACAGATTGAATACGTATGGTAAGAGAATACCACCCCGAGACACACCCTCCCAGAATGTGCAATATTCCCTTGTCCTGTTTGAACAAATGCCTCTTGATCCATGAACAAGTTCTTTAGGAGCACAATTAGGTGTTCTGGAATTTCTGATCCTTTCAAGCCTATCCATAGTCTCTTATGATCCACAGTGTTAAATGCCTTAGCATAGTCAATAAAGCACAAGTAAACATCTTTCTGTTATTTACTGCTTTCAGCCAATATACAGCTGACATCAGCAATGATATTTCTTGTTCCATGTCTTCTTCTGAACCCAGCCCAACCCTCTGGCATCTCCCTGCCAGTGTACTGCTGCAACCGTTGTTGGATGATGTTAAGAAAAAAAATTTACTTGGATGAGCTATCAATGTGCTAGAATGTGAGCATTCTATTGAGTCATCTTTCTTTGGAATGTACACAAATATGGATCTCTTCTAGTCAAGTAACTGTCTTCTCAATATCCTGGCATAGAGAAGAAAGTGCTTCCAGTGCTTCGTAAGCTTGTTGAAACATTTTAATTCGTATCCCATCAATTCCTCGAGCCTGGTTTTTGGCTAAGCTTTCAGTGCAGCAAGAACCTCTTCCTTCAGTAGCAATGGTTCTTGTTCCTATGCTACCTCCTGAAAGAGTGGAATGTCAACTAGTTAATTTTGGTAGAGAGACTCTCTGTATTCCTTCCATCTTCTTTAGATGCTGTCTACATCATTCAATATTTTGCCTATAGAATCTTTCAGTATTACAACTTGAGGCCTTAATTTTTCCTTGAGTTTTTTCAGTTTAAAATATACTGAGCGTGAATTTGGTTTTCTAACTCTAGGTTTTTGCATGTTTCGTTATAATACATGGTTTTGTCTTCTTGAACTTCCCTTTGAAATTTTCTATTCAGCTCTTTTACTTCATCATTTCTTCCATTGACTTTAGCTACTCTATGATTAAGAGCAAGTTCCAGAGTCCCTTCTGACATCCAAATTAAAAAAAAATTTAATAAATAATTTTATTGGGGGTTCTTACAGCTCTTATAACAATCCAGGCATTAATTATAGCAAGCACATTTGTTTCCATCATCATTTCCAAAACAGTTCTTTCTACTTGAGCCCTTGGTATCAGCTCCTCTTCCCACCCACCTCTCTCTTCCACCCTCCCACCCTTGTAAACCCTTGATAATTTATACATTATTTTTATTTTCATATTTTACACTGTCCACTGTCTCCCTTTACCCACATTTCTGTTATTCACCCCCTTAGGGTGGGGGGTTGTATACCAATCACTGTGGTAGTTTCCCTTCCCCTTATTCTCCCCACCCCTTTCCCCTACCCTCATGCCATTGCTACTCTCA